CTTGCATTAAGTTTTCTAATCTTACACAGACTTAAAGAATAACTTCCAACTGTCCATGAGTAACCAATATTTGGTAAGCCTCAGATTGTCCTCGACAATTGCTTAATCATTTTAGTCATATCCAGTTCTATTCCTTTTCCCTCTTAATGCCCTAGGCATTTGGAAAATTTAGAATGGATGAATATTATATCACATGTAATCGATCCTATATCCAAAGCATATGGGACACGATTCATGATGTCTCCCATAAAGACATGATACTAGACCAGTCTTTTGCTATAATATTTCTATTTCTATTTGCCATGTTCTCATAATTCGAATTATGAAAAGGGATGTCGTAATCATAATCGAATGAAGTATAATTTTCCTCTCCCTTAATAATGTAATCATGACCAAATTTGATTATAGACTCACAATCTAAGCTTTTAGAATTGGAATGAAGTATAATTTCCTCTCCCTTAATTATAGCAAAACAACTTTTCAAACCCTGTAACTTTGCAAATTGAAACTTTTGTTTTCTATAATTAACATTACTAACTTGCAATACTTAACATAATAATCATGCTCCCACTAACATGATAATTATCAGCATAACACTTATGCTCCCACTAGCTTTGACATGTATCCAGAAATCAGCTGGACTTCTAGAAATCAATACTTATTGACTTTCTTTCCAAAGTTCAGATTTCTGATACGAGATGCTTTGAAAAAACTTTATCTAAGCTTCTTGATTTTTTATACGCCTTTCCTTAGATAGCTCACATGTGTGTCTAAACAATTACGAAGAGGGATTTCGTAATCATAATGTTTAAACCTTTTGCCATTCTCACTAGTCCATGTTAGTGTGCCGATTAACCACACACGCTCCACTAATGACTTTGAGAATGCAAATATCACAACTGCTTACTTAAAATCTACTTAGTGAAAGCGTTTCCTCACCATCATTTTCATGAATCGGAGAGAAAAGTTATGACACTTAGATTTTTATGGTGTATGTGTTCCTATCCATGTGAATTTGTCATAACCATAATCACAAGACAAGGTTAGTGACAAATCCAAACTATATGGACTGAACTTGTTTAATCTTAGTTTTCTTGCCATCCGGCAGCACAAGGGCCTACCATTGCTTCCAGGTTGTTATGCAAACAATTGAGAACTCATAAAACTCATATGCATAGTCAACTTTAACTGGAATGGGCACAGAAACAAGAATATGTCAACACGATAGGTTACAAACCTCAAGTCGCGCGCTAGTGATAAACAACAAGTTTTTATTCTTGATTAGTTCTTGAAATTTTTCAAGATCTTTAAAACTCCCACTGGCCTCTTGACATATATGTTTCTCATGTCAAGAACCATTCCTTGACAAAAAAAATATTCAAGAGTTAGTGCTGATTCTTATCAAGAAAAAACACTTCACACAATTGGTCTTAGTTGGTCTTTGTCTTATCCAATACATCACAACTTACCAATTTCAAATGTAAAAGAGTAGAAAACATGTTAATCTACATTTGACAAGTGTTTTAAACCTTTCTTAAGATTATGTCACTCGAGTTACAATCTTGGAGTATTACTCTAAGACTCGATATTGGAACGAAGTATGATTCATCTTTTGATTTAACCATTTCAAAAATTCACGATTCCTCTTCTTAGTCAAACAAATGCACTAAGATTCCCTTAGATGATCAATTGTGATATGGTTTTTCATAATCATTAGGATGATCATAAAAACATGGTACTGAAGTACTCTCCCATCTTTTAAGATTGGAGAAACTTTTATCTTTCTCCCTAATTTGATTCTTCTCATTCGTCCTGCCATACATTGAAACTTTTCCAATGTTTCAGAATATACTTAAACTTGTAAGCACAACCATATTTACTAAACTTTAGTATATCATGACGAATAACCTTATCGTTCTTTGTGGTGGACCTGATCAGCGCACAACCAAGTGTACCCGATCTCTTGGTCCTTCACTTGACTCACATATACATGTGAACAAGGAATTAGTCTTAATTTCCCAAAGATGAAAATTCTCAATCATCATACAATTCAAGTTGCATGATTCCAAGTTTCTTTCCAACTAAAACTTGGGTGATGAGAATCTTTCCTTATTTGGTAAATTATGACACTACCACAAATGAAAGAATCAAATCCATTTTCCAACATTGCTATCAATGGAAACATATAAGCAACAAATTTTCACAAATGCTATTGTACGGAAACTTAAAAATAAATAAATTTCAAAAAAATTTCTTTTATTTACAAAACTACGGAAACACTTATCCTTACAATGCAAATACAAACGAAAACTATGTTGTTATCTGTTCCTAAGCAATCTATCATAACTCTTAAGAAGTAGCTCAAAATTCTGATCTTCGAATCATGCGATCGAAATCCATCTTCGCGATCAGATTCAGCATACTCTTCTTCTAAGCTTCCTCTCCTTTTTCGATTCTAGAAAACATCGAAATGCGACCTAGTCACATCATGTAATAAGAAACTCCAAACAAGAACTTAATAGAGTTAGATAGTGGACTTTACCTGAAGCATAGTCAAGTTTTTGACTTTTACCATCCTAGTGAACTTTCAGGTAAATAAGGCAGCTTCACAACTAATGCCCCTTCTTTTGGCAATAGAAACTTAAGGACTCTTTAGTAATGGTACATGGGACTATCTCAGACTTAGCCTTTCTCTTTACTATTGGGTCAGATGACCTGACCATGGCCGATCCCTTTCCATTGGGAATATAAAGCTATTCTGGATTTCTAATGTTACCATTGTCAATGTCCATGTAAGTTTGGGAAGTAGATCTTCCAATCAAATTTGCTTTACTAGTGCTCCAAATCATTGTTGATTCAGCAGCCACAAACAAATAGGTAAGATCATTAAGGGTCATGTCGTGGTCTGTCACATAATAGTCCTTAATGAACTCACTATATGACTCGGAAAGAGATTGAAGAACCTAGTCAATAGTCAACTTCCTTGTGACTTCGACACCCAACTCTCGCAGCTTGTCAATATGGGACTTTATCTCTAAGATGTGAGTACATATAGACATTACTTGCCAATAGGGATTGAGTGACCTTGCACTTTTCAAGAACTTGTGGGTTAGGGAGAACAATTGTAGGAGGAGGAGGAAGCGAAGTATGATTTCCAGCCCCATTAATGCACAACAAAGGGATTAATCTTTCACCTTGATCGCCATTTAGGATATCATCTTTAATAGGATAGCTTTATCCAAAAGGATAATGAAGACCATAGTTGTCATAACCAGACATCTATGAGGGAGAAATTCAAGTTTAGTTGATTTAAGTCCTTAATATAACACCCCATATGAAATATTAAGGCTAGGACCCAACACAATATTTTATAACTTGGAAGAGGGATGTCGTAATCCAAGCTACAAAATATTTGAAGGTATGTAAATGACGATTTACCAATTTCCACCATGAAAAACGAAAAGAAATTTTAGGTCTTAAATGGATTCAAACTCCTAGATCTTTTGAGATTCATTTAACTATTCAATGGCATGTTTAAATCTCGATTGTGCCCTTCAAGTTTGTGACTGGGATGCCAAGGATCACAAATAAGGAGTGAATAACCATGCAAATTAACTTGGTACACTTAATGTCACAACCACCTAATCAATGTGCCGGTTAACCACACACGCTCCATTGATCTATGATTAACATCAAGCTACCCTTTGCCACACATTGTTAGTCCCAGATTAGTGTGCCGGTTAACCACACACGCTCCACTAACGACTTAACAAGGTGCAAAGTGCAATTTCATGGGTTAGCACCAAATTCACATTTTCCTAAGTAACTAAGATTGGGAATTTATAAGTGTTTAGTTACTTAGTATTTCACTATACTTTTAATGAGAAATTAAATGTCCTGTCAAACCCGTTCGGCTAACGACCCTCCACCAGTCAAGGAAGCGGTGGGTGAGACTGGACACCCATTAAACTGCCATTTTATAGGCAGTAACCTAATACCCCCCTTATAGACCGGCTTCGTGAATGAGGCCTACTAACGGTAAGACTGACTTACTCTTATACATATATATATATATAAATATTAAACCTATAATATTATAATAGTATAAGGGTTAAATTTTAAACTATTAAAATTCTAAGGGTTTAACTTGGAATTAAAGTATTCATGGGGGGGGGGGAACTTTACAAATTCCAAAACTTGAGGGCAAGTTTTGAACAATTCAAAAAACCTTTGGAATCCATAACATATCAGTTTAATATGGATTTTAAAGGCAAGAATCTTGAAAATCCATAACTTGAGGACAAGTTATGGACCTCATAAAACAATTTATGGGAAAAGACTCTTCAATTGCATAACTTATGACTTTTAAAGACTCATTAACAAGAAAGACTTTTGGTTTTCCATAACTTGAGGACATGTTATGGAATCCATTAAAGGCCATTTAGATCATCTAATAAACTATCAAACATGTCAAAAAATCTATGATCTAGATTAAACTCATATCAACAAGACAATTCAAATCAAACAATTTTGATGTAATTAGCCCAACTATTAAACCAATACAAAACATGAAACTTTTGACAATTATCTTTTGAATTGGATTAGAATGATCATTACCACATCAAAAATAGGTTTATAAGTTCAAAAACAGCTTAGTGTAATGATTCTAGTCCAATTCTAGCCAAAAAAATAATAATTGAGTGACCTTTTAAAACAAACATGATAAATTTGATGGGCTAATATGACATTTGCCCCTAATATAATTCTGTCTATTATTTAAGGGCTTGCTTAGCAAAACTAGCTAGCTAGTAGCTGTAGCTATTCACGAGTAATAGAGTACATTGTCTGTTTTAGTAAAAATGATAAAAACGCATTGTTCTTTAGCATAATTTCCCCTTTATTTTAATTTAGAAATCCAACAAAATATAAAGTGACAACTGCAAATTGTAATCATATTTAGGGTTCTTCTTTCTTATCTGGGGGAGGCAAGCAATTGAAAGAAAAAAAAACTCATTGATGAATGATGGCATGACATGCATCTCTCATTTCTCTATTTCATACAAATATTCATTCAGTCATCTTCAAAACAAAGGATTACAACTTATGTCCAAGGAACAAACACAGTAGCACCAAAAAAAACCTCTTTCCTAAAGACTCTCTCAGATACAGAGTTTGTTTGTTTGGTTGTTTAAACCAGAGAAACATGCAGAGCATAATAATACCTTACTTCCTCCCACCACCAGAGACATTAAATTTGAAAAATATAATATCACCATCCTGAACCACATAAGTCTTTCCCTCTTGCTTGTACTTCCCAGCAGCCTGCAATTAAGTGCTTAACTCAAAAACAAACACCCCCTTCCCCTTAATTAATCAACCATATATCATATGGATAATACCTTAACAGCAGACTCGCTTCCCAACTCTTTAAGATCCTCAAACTTCATTACCTACAAAATTATCAAAACATACAGATTCTCATCCTCATCCCCAAAATCAATACTTAAAAGATTCAGAAATACTATATTTTAAGATTGATAATAACCTCTGCACAGATAAACCCTCTTTCAAAATTAGTATGAATTGCTCCTGCAGCTTGAGGTGCCTTTGTTTGCCTCCGAATTTGCCAGCATTTCACCTGCATCCCAATTGCCACATCATCTTTAATTTAAATTATACAACAATCTGGGAAGTAAAGATTTTTTTACTGTTTATAGAAAAGAAATTATTTAAAAGGTCGCTCTGACCATCCGTCTGTGGGTGGAAAGTCGTGCTGAAGGTAAGACGAGTACCCAACTCGTCATGAAATTTCATCCAGAATCTGGAAGTGAACCGCACATCCCTGTCGGAGATCACAGAAACCGGCACCCCATGCCGAGCTACTACCTCCCTGATGCAGATGTCTATCAGCTTCTCGGCCGAAATACTCTCCTGAATCGGTATGAAATGGACACTCTTGGTCAATCAATCCACGATGACCCATATCGCGTCAACTCCCCGTGTCGTCCGAGGTAACTTCGTAATGAAGTTCATAGTGATCTCCTCCCACTTCCACACAGGAATATCCAATGGCTACTTTTTGTTGTGCGGTCTCTGGTGCTCTGCCTTGACTTTCCTAACAGTCAAGCATCTCTCAACGTACCAGACTACATCCCGCTTCATACAAGGCCACCAATAGTCAGGACGAAGATCCCTATACATATTCGTTTCCCCGGCATGGATACAAAATCTGGATTTATGTGCCTCCTCCATCAGGATCTGGCGCACACCGCCCGCGTACAGAACCTACACTCTATGATGGAGTGTCAATAGCCCGCAGCTATCATAGTCGAAGGACGAAATCTGACCCACGATACGCTCACTCTTTCGATGTTCCTCCTTTATAGCCTCCTGCTGAGCCACCCGAATCCGCTCCAAAAGCGGAGTCACTACTGTCATCCTCAGGCATATGTCTTTGATCGGGGCTGCTAACGCCTTACGGCTAAGTGCATCCGCCACAACGTTGGCCTTCCCGGGTGATAAAGGATCTCACAGTCGTAATCCTTCACCACATCCAACCACCGTCGCTGTCTCATGTTTAGATTTGGCTGATCCATCAAGTACCTCAAACTCTTGTGATCCTTGTAAATGGTACAACGGACCCCATAGAGGTAGTGTCGCAAAATCTTGAGGAAAAAAAAAACCGCCCCCAACTCCATGTCGTGCGTCGGGTAGTTCGCCTCGTGAGGCTTCAACTGCCTCGAGGCGTAAGCGATGACGTGTCCTCTCTGCATCAATACTGTGCCCAAACCAGAGATAGACGTGTCACAACACACTACGAAATCTTGAACGCCCTATGGCAGGGCTAACATCGGCGCCTCGCACAACCTCTTCCTCAAAGTGTCGAAAGTTGTCTGCTACTCAGGCCCCCAGCGGAATGTCACCGACTTCTTGGTCAGTCGGGTCAATGGAATGGCTATCTTGGAGAAATCTTGGATGAATCTCCGATAGTAACCCGCCACACCAAGAAAACTCTTAATCTCAGATGGAGACCTCGGAACCTCCCATCTCACGGCCTCTACCTTGGCAAGATCAATCAGAATACCCTTCTGGTTGACAAGGTGCCCCAAAAACTGCACCTCGTATAACCAGAACTCGCACTTGGAGAACTTTGCGAAAAGTCTCTCCCTCCTCAATGTCTCCAGAACCTCCCTCAAGTACTCCTCGTGCTGCTCCCGAGTCTTGAAGTAGACCAAGATATCATCGATAAAGACTATCACATACCAATCCAGGATCGGTCTGCACACGCAGTTCTTGAGGCCCATGAACACGGCACGAGCATTGGTGAGCCCAAACAGCATCACTACGAACTCGTAATGTCTATATCGAGTCTGAAAGGCTGTATTCTACACATCGTCGTCCCTGACTCGCATATGCTGATAACCCGATCGCAGATCAATCTTGGAGAACCAAGATGCTCCCTGTAGCTGGTCAAAAAGATCGCCAATCCTCGGGAGTGGGTAACGGTTCTTCACCGTTACCTTATTCAACTCCCGGTAGTATATACACATCCGGTGAGACCCGTCCTTCTTTTTCACAAACAGAATTGGGGCTCCCCAAGGCGAACTGCTCGGCCTGATAAATCCCTTGTCTAACAGCTCCTGCAGCTGTGTAGACAACTCCTGCACCTCGGGAGAAGCCAACCGATACGGGGTCTTGGCTATCGGGGCCGCTCCTGGAACTAAGTCAATCCTGAACTCCACCTGTCTCTCTGGAGGTACCCCAGGAAAATCCTCCGGGAACACGTCCGGATACTCCCGCACCACCGGTACTGATGGGTTTTGAGCATTCTAACACTCCTATGGTGTACATGCAACCCTAGAAACCTTGGATCTATGTTTTACTATTAGGGGTGAGCATGGTGCGGTTCGGTGCGGTTTTTAGCCAAAACCAAACCAAAAACCGCAACTTCGGTTTTTTGAAGTTTAGAAACCGCACAGTTCGGTTTTTATGCGGTTCCGTTTTTGTGGTTTTTTTTCGGTTTTTTGCAGTTCGGTTTTTTGTCAGTTTTTTTAATTTGGTTTTTGTTTTGCCTTTTTATTAAAAATCAAGTAACTCAACGAGTTACTTTGACTCGGATGAGAAGTGTTAATCATTTTTTGAGAAACTTTATGTAGAGATGAGGAACGCCAAATTTTTCATCCCCATCAATGTGCGACTCCTCAAAGATGTCGGTTAAAAGCAATAGACTTGACTCTCTTATATGAAATGTGAGAATGGTGAAGGTTTTACCTCAAATACGATGAGCGATATTCTTATAACGCTGGCAAAATTAAAGCCCAAATGATATCTTGGAGATGAACCAATACCACCACCTCTTGGTTTGAAAACAAATAACATAACCTCTCATCCAACATATTTCTAATGTTCGAATATAATACGAATTAAAAATAATATTTGTTTCACAGGTACATACGATAATATCAATTAAGGTATTCATAAAAATGATACTATCATCACTAGTACTTTTAATATTAACAATGTTAAAAAATATAATAAACACTATTTCTTCTTGTAAATATCACTATATGTATGCTTAAAAATATACAATCATTCTCTGATAAGATAGATATTTATATTTATAGAAATTTTAATTGTCGTGAGTTCTTCGTTCTTATAAATATCAACACTTAATATATATATATATATATATATATATATATATATATATATATATATATATATATCTATATATATATATATATATATATATATATATATATATATATATATATATTATATATGTATATGTATATATATTCGGTGCGGTTCGGTTTTTTGCGGTTTTCGCAAGACTAGAAACCGCACCGCACCGAACATTTTCGGTTTTTGCAAAACTAAAAACCGCACCATCGGTTTTTGTTTCGGTTTCGGTTTATGCGGTTTTTTCGGTTTGCGGTTCGGTTTTTGCTCACCCCTATTTACTATGATACATGCAAATTTGATTTCCAAGGTTCATAACCTATCTAACATAGCATGGGGAACTTTTAAACATAAATGCTAGTTGTAGAACATACCTTATGTTGTTTGGATTCCTTGAAAACCTTGTGAGCCTAGCACCTCAAGTGTGATGCCTCAAATGTCTCACACAAGACCACAATGCTTGGAATAACCTTGATAGAAGTTCACTAACACCTCAAAATCGGCTTGCCCTCTATCTTGTACAAGTAGTGCCGATTTTGCTAGACTAGGGGTCTTTATATAGTTGTGACACAAGTAGGGTTACACCATGTAAACCCTAATTGTCATGGCTTTCCATATTCCATGATCCATGGGTTTGTAACCTCCATGGACTATCCATGGAGAACCTTATGGGTTTTAACCCAATCCATACAAATCATGGATCATTAGCCCACTATACAAGAATAGATGATTTACACAATGAACCCCATATATTTAATTAGTCTCTTTTGATCACTTAATTAATTTCAAATTAATTCTTTGATCAATACTAATTAAGTAATATTATTAATATATTAGAACTTATATTATATTAATAACCTTGAGTGTCCTTTCTCTCATTTTGGTCTATCCAAGCATTGCAATGCCATGCAACCCAAATGGACCATGCCAGGTCGGGTCAAGTACATACCAAATATAGTTATAGACTTAGACACTATATCCAACAGTCTCCCACTTGGATAAGTCTAATAACTATACTTGCAGATATGACTTCAGAACCCGACTAGCAATCGTAGCTCTTTCAAGGTCTCTCGGTCGGAACTGAGATGATGATGATACGTCATTTCAGATAAGTGAGCATATAATCCTCTGCTCTCAAGATATCATCCGGACAAATACATGGAACATGGTCTTACTTATTGTCCAACATTTGTTTCTCGATCTCTGATCTGTTTGACATAGAACTACATTGAACACATCAATTAGGTTCTGACTGGGCCCGATACATAGGTCAAAACAAAATCATCGAGGGGCCCAGATATCGCTTCTAATCATATGCTTGTACTGACTACTTGTTGAATTATGCACAAAAGCACGTTTTATAACATCGAGTTACCAATGCGTTTTCGTACAATCAATGTATAACCAACTCATAGTCAACAACTCATATCTCTTGGTTTGGAGATTTATATGATATTACCGTCTCACGATCACTCGAGATAAATTCCATGAAGTGATACAAGTGAGCGTGGGTTGAGTCCAATACACAAGCCTTATGAGCACTCATGAATGTTGCAGCAACCATTGCTATGTCTAATACACCTTAGACAACCTAAAAACCCAGTTCATGACAGTCTTAATTCAATACCTACTTCCAAAGTATGACTGACTGTGGAGAGTTTGAATAATATAATTATTCTGGAAGTCAAAACATGCAAAGTTGAAACAATAGTAAACGATTAACGTAAGATAGTAACACTTTACTCATAAATAAATAACAACTTTTATTTAATCATCAAATGTCAAGTACATTTTACAAGTTCAGAACTATCTAACTATTAAAACTAATATCATCCTTCAGCCCGATGCGTCTCGCATGCTGTAAATGCTTAACCATACTCAGTCCCTTCGTGATGGGATCTACTGGGTTCTCATCTGATGATACCCTCTTTGCCACGAGGAGTCCTTCTTCTATTCGATGTC